CCATCTAATTCAAAGATCTCTAACATATTCTAATTCAGTTGTATTTTATAGTTCGTGTTCTCTATTGTAAATAAAATGCCGCGACGCGGGAGCAGTGTTGTAATTCGTAACAATATTATGATGAGAATTTAGAGCCGAGTGATGCCGAAGACGTATTTGATTTTGAAGAGTTAAAAGACATTGTAGAAGACAATGTTGGTTATGATTCTGACACTTCGAGTAGTAGTAGCGAAATTATATTACCAAAGAGACGAAGAATGAGAATTATTGAAAGTGAAAGCGAAGATTCGTTGCAAGACTTAGATGAATGGCGCGATGTTACGGAAGAATTACATATTTCAGATAGAATACCTTTTAGCGTATTGCCACAGGTCATTGGACCACGAGTTCCTACAAACATTGAACAGCCGATACAATATTTTAAATTATTTTTCACGGACGAATTGGTAAATGAAACTATAAAGGAAACCAACAATTACGCAGAAAATGTTCTAAACTCGAAAGAAATATGTAGTAACTCTATTTGGCAAAGTGAATACTGTGACACTTGCCCGAGTAAACCCAGAATGCACATGGGAGATTGTTACCAAAGATATCACACCATGGTGAATTACAAAATTTAAAATTTATCTTTTATTTACAATAGGAAAATATATATTTATAAAATAAATAAAATCAAATGCATTCACAAGAACGTGTAATCTTTTCCGCTCAAAATAAGACTTCCTTTATCTCAGGTGCTCCGCTCTAAAAATGTGCCGAAGTTGCTGGCAGACAGTACTCGAGAAACACACGGAGCGCTAAGGGTTAAAATTATCACTGTCACGTGGTAAAAATAAACATCATAAGTTCATGCTCCGTTACTTGTTCATTGATTCGAACGTGGCACAGAGTCCCCCTTGAGCTATCAAACTCAGTGGTAGGACACGTGGCGCTCGACCGATCGACCACGTTACGGTTCGCGCCACCGCCTCCCATTGGTCAACATTTTTCGTTAATAACTCGTAAACAAAGCCGCGGATTGTATTTTCGCAAATGAAGAAGTTACTTAGAATGACCTCAGCTACCCCACATTTCCAGATTGCGAGGTATTTTGGGGACACCCTGTATATATACAACTAGCCTTGTTGCGCAACACCCTCGACTAGCCTATTTAACGGCATTAATTGAGCGTAAAATGCAGCGTCGTTGCAGACTGCCGACTTCCTCGGAGAGCCACTTTCCTTTCCACGGGAAGAAGACGCTCGCGTCTAAGGGACGTTCAAAGAACACCAACGACTTCTCTGTGATCTGGTTCGCAGCCGCAGCGATCGACTAATGTAAGCTTATTCGGAAACTGGGTCGAGTCGACTACGGGACTAACAAATTCGGGGCGATATTAAGTTAGGAAAATTTCGTGCAATCGACCGACCCAGATTCGACGCATTCGGATAAGAGATTCGGAATCGCAACAGAAGATAAGTTCGCGGTGTTTGCAAGCAGCGTCCACTTCGTTGACCGGTTTCGCGGTGGAATGTTCGCTTCATTAGCATGCCGCCGGGCAGATTTTTATTCACTAATAATCTCGTGATTCCGTCTGTGCGTGCGTGGACGGAAAGAATCGGCATGTTGAAACTTTCCCATATTCGTCGAATCGGATGCGCTTAACACGTTCCGTGCCAAGCCGTTTTTGCTCGATTTGTCGTTCAGGCCATTTGATGTTTCGACTAATGATTGATATGTTGTCACACAATATTTTATTACATCGTCAATCCATAAGTAGTTAGCTTGTTTAGAGCAGTTATCGCATCGTGTACCATTTATGGTTCACGTGGCGCTGCGATCAGTTCGATTGTAAAAGTCAGTCAATTCGAAACTCTTCGATTAGTAAAAAGAACCTGCTTTATTCGAATTTGTTGAGTAAAGAACGAGGGACTGGAGTAGCAAGACAAAAAACTATAAGAGTAACGACGTTTTGCAGGGATTGCCCGAAAAAGCCATTTTTATGCATCTCTTGGTTTAACAAAGTCAACCGTTACGTGTAATTATTAATTATTGTATGTATAACAATTAAACAAACTTATGTGCTTTGTTTTATACTGCATTTTTTATAACGCCTCATTATTTTGGTGGAGATATATTTTACACAATTAAATCTGTCATAAAATATATGTTTCCAGCGCATTAAATAAATATGTCTGTCGTGTACCATCGTTGGTACACGTGGCCTGAAGATCAAGTTTAACGTGTACCATCGTTGGTACACGTGGCCTGAAGATCAAGTTTAACGTGTACCACCGGTGGTACACGTTGGCACGGGACGTGTTAACAAGAAACCTAGCGACCGCTAAAAGTGACTGATGCATACTGTGTTCTATAGGAATGGCAAGACTGAGTTAATTTAGACACTACTACACTTTTACTGCAATGTATGCTACAGTTAAGAAATCTACTGAATTATTTCGTATGAAAGAGACCTTAGAATGTCAACAATCTAAAAATAAAATGACCGACACGGTGGATTTAATGTTGATTAAAATGTTGCCCGATAGTTGGTGTTTGTTAACGTCGAATGAATTTAACATTGAACGTTTTGCAATAAAAACAAGCGCGTACTTGAAACTTAGGCGACTGATTATAATTATAATATATACAAATTATAATAATAAAAAATATAATATAAATAGTTATTTCGTTTTAAAAGGTGTACGAACACTTTCGTGGATAACTGTAACTCGTCGAATATAAAATGTTTTAATATATGCTTTGAACTCTTGGGAGCGTTGCTTCGATGATGAAGGTTGAAAAAGAAAGTAGGAAGAGTTACAAAGAGAGCACTTGAATAGGCGGTGGATGGTGATTTCAGTTGGTGAAAGTGGTGAAAAAACGAACAGCTTGAGAACCATTATAAACACTATGGCGACTGCAACGATGTAAAAGGTGTCCGAATGTTTGCTTTTACGTCTAGACTCTAGATGTTCCATACCAGGATAAATTTATGACATAGATCTAAACGCAGAGAGAGAGAGAGAGAGAGAGAGAGAGAGAGAGAGAGAGAGAGAGAGAGGAAGAAGACCCTAACTCCGTTGTCGTACTCTATAGAGAATTTTCGACCAAGTGTCTTCGATACAAAATGTCGGATGTTTTCTCCGATCGAGTCTCCTTTAGCGGGAGGTCAAGCTTTAACGACTTTTCTGGAGATTGACGACTTCGAGCCGGACGTCCTGATATCAAGAACCAACACCGATGTTTGGCAAGGCACCCGGATCCCTCTCGGCATTCCCGTATTTTCCTGACTGTGCCCCTCGTCTCGATTGACTTGTCGAAAAGACACAGTCATATCTTTTTACGTCCTCGACTTCGAGTTGACTCGGATCCCTCGATACATACTGACACGGCCGTTCCGAGCCGAATGATCCTACAGATGGTCAGCCAGTAAAATAAAGGGATTGGTCTTCCGAGTACTCGGAGATAGAATCGTTGCTCTTATTTCACCGCGATCCTTTATCTCGCGATAGCGTCCGTTTCTCCGACGGGTTCACTTTGCAGGTGGAATCAGATGTTACAATGTTTAGACGGAATTAGCGTACCGATCGACGAAGTTGCACTTAAGAGTACGGTATTTTCATTATTTTAATGCACTGATAATGGCAGCTTTTACGGCTCGATGGTTATTTGCTTGTTGCTTATATGTAAGTTATATGAGCTTATATGCAAATGGTTATTGCTTGTATGAAAGTTGAGGAAGAGAAAATAAGCAGAGAAGATAAGATCTTACAATATTTTCACAGAATTGTTGTACTGGTCGATTTTGGTGCGTTGCTAACTGACGCTCAGATTGTGCACAAAAATGGACAATTTGGAAAATTGTATTGAATAATCGTATCTCCTCTTTCCAAATTGTCTATTTCTGTGGACAATCTGAGCGTCAATTAGAGAGACATTACTGTAGTAGTTCTTTAGGCCTTCAAATATTTAGGTCTTCTAGACACTTTCGCAATAGGATTGTCGTTTATATTGAAGTTAAGAAGACGAAACAGTGCAGTAAAATAAAAATTATGGAAAATTCCTTTCAAACGTACTGCAAACTGTCAAGAAAAAAGGCAAAATTCGTGAATCTGTTTTCTGTAAAATATTTATAATTGTGAGAACCTAATTCGAAGGAAATATCAATATATGGAAGTATGGCAAAATGGACGGCCACCGAAGATAAAGTATCAAATTATTCAGAAAAGTGGAACGTTCTCATCGATGAATAAATTTAGGCAGCTCATGCAGTAAACAAAATCGTGGATATTGCGAAAAGATCGGTTTATCGTACAATGAGTGACGTTGCAATTAGCTATGCAGTAAATTCTCTCCAATTGTCCTTTAACATGTAAACAAAAATAGTCAATTTTTTGTTTACATTTTTGTCTACAAGTTGATGGAAAAATAAGTAGAATTTACTATACCCATGTCAGTGTTTATTTTCTGACAACACAGTTGAATATATTGTTTAGAACAAATCATACTTATACGCATACGAGAATCGTTCCACACGATTAATTAATTTATGTATTTGTGCCCAATGCTTCAAATACGTAGTCCAAAAATTCAAAACTAGAAGACTGTGCAATAATCCGATCTTCTCAAATTGCCGCAATAAAAATCTTCCTCGAATCAATGATATCGATGTTCGAAACCCGATAGAATTTCTAAACGCGACATCAGACATTTCCCTTAACCCTTTGAGTCCCAGGGGTTATTCAGAAAACACGGTCGAAAAGTGGCGAACAGCGTGATAGCGTTTGTCTTAATTGATTGCGAAGAGAACCAAGCGGCGCGATAGCGTTCGTTAGGATTGACAAACGAAACAAGAAGAATAAAAAATGAAAGAAAGCAGCTATGCGATGCACGTGCATCGCTAAAGTTTGATCGCGATACAAGATCTGAACAGCGCGATCGCGCTGCTTGGGACTCAAACGGTTAATAACAAACGAATCCAAAAGTGTAACGATGATTTCTGTTTTCTGTTGCAGAACTTGGATGTTTAACGGACGGAACAGCTTGACGTCGGATCCCCGGAACGCCCCGGTGTGTCGTCCGCCCCCCTCGAGATCTCAATTCGGATTAAGAGAAGCAGCGCGTGCTGGCCAAAAGGGGTGAAGTGGCTGGCCATGTAAATGAAATCGCGGTTGAACGTGCGGTTGTATTCGCGCAGCGAGACTCTTGTCGGTACATTTGCACACGTGTGCACCAGTATGGGGCTGCGATCGAGAAATTAATCGCGGGAGGATCCGTCGAGAATAATCCGAGCTCGCGTCTAAATTAGCTGCGAAAGATGCGTCTGGATTCGTGAACGTCTGACACTGGTCCCGATAATTCGTCGCAGCGCGAGCCTACACAAAGTCAATGATCGAATTTCATGGTAAACTAGACGACCTACCTTTTTCCCTCTTGTATCTCCGCAAGATCGTCGAAGTGACGAAAACGTACCGAAAGGAAAGTTAACTGCTAAACCAATTCCTAACTTCCCCCCTAGTCGGAGCTAGGCTTCATAATTGGTATATCGACCAGCCGATCGAAGGAAGAAGCCAGAGAGTCTTCGGAAGGAGAATCTAGTCGGGGCAAACAAAGCTAAACTTGCGGCGTATGTATAGCGATCGTCGTTGACCCGTATCGCCGCGAACATGTCCGACTGTTCGGGAAACAATGATTATCTTGACGCAGCAAGAGCAAGTTGGTTGCCCAGGACCCAGACTCGAAAATCCGAAAGATAAATCCGAAAGGGAGATCGGAGCTTCTCTCCGATAAGGTGTACGGGGATCATCGTGGAACAGCGTCCGAAATATCTTATCTCCCTTTTTCCATGTTCCGCGCGCGGATGACGAAGAGCACGTGAGCCAGTTACGCGATAACGAACGCCAGTCTCCCTTCTACCCGATAACTGCTGATTTCCATAATGGTTCCGCGTACGAGTACGCTTCGCCGGCTCCGGGACTCCGGCCGACGTCTTATCAGCCCTCGAACTTAGACGATGATCGATATCGAATTGATAGGCGCCGCTTCCGAGCGTTATCGGCGCTTTTCTTTGCGATCGAGCGGAGTAACGACTTTCGAATGACACGGGACCACGTACAGCCGCGGTGATTAGAAACAGTGTTTCATCCAAACACTGAGCTCAGGATATTAAGAATGAAACCTTAAGCTTCTCGCCCTTCTCTCCGTAGAATCACGGATATTCCGTTGTTCCATCGGGATTATTCCCATCTCCGCGCGTTTTCAATTAGGTTAGCGGAATGGTTGACCCGCCCTGTCAGCTGCGTGCGACCATCGGCCAGGGCGCACGACCCTTATCGAGTCGGCAATTCGCTTGTCCTTGTCGAGGTGGCGCCCTATCCTCCCTGCACGCACGTGTCGTCCGGAATCGTTCTGCTGATTTCGCATCGATAAAGCTTGGGACGAGAACGTATCCGGAGCAAGATGAGAATTTGAAACGTGCGCCAGATTGCTAGAGGGATCTGCGTCTTGGGATTGTTCCTCCGCGAAGGGGCCCCGGCCCGTAACAAGACAATTTTAGGGTGACGTCCGTTTCGAGGGCACGTCGATGATCGGAGTCCTTACTTTTGACCTTTTGATATATCGCTGAAATAGCAAGATTCTCCTTCTAATTAAACAGTCGCTTTAAACCTTCGCTTTTAGGACGTAGATTGTGAATCGCACGTTTCGCGAAATATATTTCATAGATGAAAATTAGACTCGCTCTTGAAACTTGCAAAGTTTCTAGGATATTTTAGTTATAAATAGATAAGTCGTTCTATATCCAACGACAGGCCATTTAACTACGCCGTCACGTCATTTACGATGGATGTTAATGAGCGACCCTTCATGTCCGTCACGCGCTATTCGTCATTACAGAATGAAGCGCTATTTCACGATTGAATGGCGCGCGTGCGCTTCCCTAGTTTAGAAAATGACGAACACGGTCGTTCAAAAAATATATTGTCTATCGGCTATTATCGATGTCTCATACTTTAGGATTGATTCGATCCTCTTGAAGCGTCAAACTGTCGCAGCAACGCGTCATTAAATAGCAGACTTTGACTACAAAATGTCAAGATCTTGAAGAAATCTGGAAATTGTTAGCAGCATCGTGTCGCTTAGAAATTACGAATACGGTGGTTCAAAATATATATCGTCTATCAACTATCATCCATGTTTCATACTTGAGGACTGATTCGATCCTCTTGAAGCGTCAAACTGTCGCAGCAACGCGTCATTAAATAGCGGACTTTGACTACAAAATGTCAAAATCCTGAAAAAATCTAGAAATTGTTAGCAGCACCGTGTCGCTTAGGAATTGGTTTAGAGCACCCTTTCGGAGAAGACTGTGTAAAAATTGACGAGGACCAGTCGCAGATGACTCGGTAAACCAATTCCAACTACAATTCCAGGGGAGACCGCAAGCTTGCGTCGGGGTGTCGCGCGTTCGGCGCTTGAGTAGGCCTAAATGAAGAGCGATCGTCGCGGGGACAGCTGATTGATACCGATTTCGTGGAACGGCGCGTGTCTCCGTGGAATCGCGAGTGAGATAGTGTGTGTGTGGTGTGCGCGCGCGCGCGCGTTCTACAGCTCGCAGGCTAATCGCGGCGGGAACGCGCGGGGGGAGGGCCGGCCGAGCAAGATGGAACTCTTCCTGATTCTCGTCTGTCTGATTGCACCGCCCACCCTCTCGCTCTCGATCAAGAGCAAGCTCAATCCACGGATCGTTCAGACCCGGTACGGCGAGGTGCAGGGGCTCGTACGGTCCTTCGAGAGCGCCAAGTTCCTCAAGCCAATCGACGTCTATCTCGGGATACCGTACGCCACTCCGCCGGTCGGCAGCAACAGATTTTCGCCGACCGGGGCACCCAGTCCGTGGGAAGGAGTCAGGTGAGCTCGAGATTGCCTTCTCTTCTTCTCTGTACTGGCCCGAACAAAAGCAACGGTCGCTGACTCGTACGAGCGAATCTATGTCGCTCGACAAAAACTTACCGAGAAATTGTTCTCGACTGCGAAGATTGTTAACCCCTCGCGAGCGAAGCTATTCGACGCGTTGAGCGTCGAAAATCGAGAGGTTTTTCGCGTAATTTATATCGGTTGATAACGTTAAAGCGGTTTAATCTAGAGAATTGGAATTGGGGTATTCGAATTGATGAAAACGTTTGCCACTTTGGTTGTGTCCTTCGTGCTAAATATTCTAGTGAAAAATGTGGACACTTTATTTCGCTTTATTATATATGTATACTTGTATGTCACTTTACTTCTACATCTGAACAAACATTAGTGTCGCCTGTATATGACCAACGCGGCATTCAACGTAATAAACGCCACTTCTTTCTTCTGAATTATTATTTTTGTTTTATGCCATTGTTTTTATCTCGTTTGTATGAAATTAAGTGTACTCTTACTCGCATCATATTTAAGTTTTTGGCAATTTAACAAATGCAAACATATTTAGGAACATAAATTTTGTTGCAAATTATGGTGTGGCAATTTTTAATGATTCTCAGAATCACTAATCGAATGCAAAGATACTTGGGAGAATTTACTGCATTCAAATCGTTAGCTACCTACAGTAATGTCTCTCTAATTGACGCTCAGATTACAGCAATGTCTCTCTAATTGACGCTCGGATTACAGCATTGTCTCTCTAATTGACGCTCGGATTACAGTAATGTCTCTCTAATTGACGCTCAGATTGTCAACAAAAATGGACGATTTGGGAGAAGGAGATGCGATTATTCGAGCCTTGCGGTTCGTTTTCATAGTTACGAATTGTCAACAACTATAAAAACGAGCTGCAAGACTCGAATAATCGTATCTCCACTTTCCAAATTGTCTATTTTTGTGCACAAAAATGTTATTGTACATCGTTCGCACCCATTCGGACGAGTAGATTCATCGCATGATCCAACGTTCATCATCACTTTTGCAACACCGTATACACTCGAACGCTTGCGTAGGATCATCAAGCTTCGTTGTGAAGGCTGAGCGTGACGTGCGAGGTAGTACAGAAAACAGGTTGCTTATGATAGCGCGCGGTTAGAGAAAATAGATTTGACGCTCGCGTTGATGAAAATGGATGACAGAAATAGATATAAGGTGTGATACTGAACACGGTTCCGCCATCAATCAAGGAGGAGGAACATCCAACACGTCGGTACTGAAAATCGTCGCGATTGTGCCCTGATAACCGGAGAAATCCGATACTAACGAGAACGATTAGCGAAATTAAGTGTCCGAACATCGCGGGAGAATAGGCGGCAACGGGCCCGTAGCACGTTCAATGAAATTTTACAAGTGGTTTGATTTTCATGGAATGTATTGTGCTCGCGGGCACGCCCTTAATACGCGGATTCTTAAACGTATTCCGCCGGCATATTTCCTGCAAAGTTATGTCAAGCTGCTCCTTTGAAATTCGTTCAAGTATTCAGCCAGTATGCCCTTTCATACTACCTACTACCCTGTCATTCTACGTTGCTCTTCGGAATAGAAATGCGTCTGAATACATCTGACTTTCGTTGAACATAGGGAAATCATTACGAAACAGTTTTCCGTATCGCACCATCGGCTGCCGCGGAAACCGGCCGCGGAAAACGTAACCGATGTATTCACGATTGTCATAGCGTTAAAACGTCTCAGACAATCACGTGCATGCACCACTACTTCCGTATTGTATTTGAAACCTTTTGACTTCCGCGCTGAGAACTTTGGATCTCCCCATTCTTTAAAGAATTCTGCATTGATTCGCGTGCACGGAGTAAAAGTATAACTTGAAACACGAAATAGAAAAGCAACGTGCAGAAAGGTAGTTGAATAAATTCCAACACGTTTTCATTTCAAGACTTCCAGAACGTTTGATCTGCAACAAATAAACCGCGAAATAGTCTATTACTGATTATTGGATATCAAGACTAATTTATTTCTGATAGCGTTTTTAATTTCGGAACTCGATTTTACGTCGTGTTCGACATTTGTCTAAGTCAGCAAAGTAGAGAAAACCTTTCAACCAACAATTTTTATCAGTTTCGTGGAATATATCTTATATATTTTTGTCTTAAAATTACAAAACGTTCAAATATTATTTAAGAAAGAAGTCGGTGATAACTTATTGACCGTATGTTGCACAAAAAGGGGAGATCATTAATATTTAACGATTACTGTATACAGCTGAAAAATTTGTTGTTCTACAGCATTACCGCAATATGCTATGAGAACGATTTATTGTTATCGATTGTCAAATCTTTATATGTATTAACAATTCGTTTCATTTTTTTCCTATCCATTCATCTGTTAAATACTTTTTTAATCCGCAAGTTATCAATTCATTTCCTCTTACCTTGACTTTTTGAGATGCTCCTTTCGGTTATTTTTTGAATCAGAAGTACAGCTTATAGAATTTCGCGAGACGCTCGTTCACTTCTTCCATTTTTTCACGATGTTCAGGCATATTCGTAACGTTCTCACATTTTTGCCACTGTGTTCAACTTACTTTATATTTCTGCCATGAGTAACCCTTTTCATACAAAGACATGTAATTATTTTTCTTTCATTCTCATTAAACGATTTCATGCATCGTTTCCTCTTCCAAGTAGTCATTAAACTGAAACAATGTGTACTACAAACCATTGCCAATATAAATAACGCAACACATAATCGATAACCGACAAGATACACAAACTCTTCTAGTACAGTAAAATTTTCCATTTTTGTTTACAAGCTGAGAGACAATTCGAGAGAATTTACTGTATTTCGTACTTATTCCGTTCTTTAACCCTTTGCACTCGAATGGCGACTCTGAGGCACCATTAATATTTGTTATATCACCTTTTAGAATAATTTTGATATTTAACAAAGTTTACATTTGAAACATTCTTATGATAAATACTGTAAGTTTGAAAAATGATTTTATATTTTCAGTTGAAACAGCTTCGAGTGCAAAGGGTTAATACAGTGCCGCACGAGTCACGTATAGGTGACACCAATTTTTAACGAGCTTTCTGAAATTCACTTTTATTGTAATATATTGAACAAATCGAATGTTATTAGGACTTGTAGAACACAGTATAGCTGAACTAGTATTTCCAATGGTAAATCTCCACTTTCTAGTTTCGATTTCATTAATTGAATGACTCTGATATTCCGTGAGTTTTTCAAGTTGCCATTCACCGCTTAACGTGTCAAAAACCATGCGAACGCGTTTCCAAAATTTCAAATAAAATGATTCACTCTGAACGAAATACTCAGTTGATAATTTTATTGCCCCGCACGTTATTTTCTCATAGAATTTAGTACCATCAGCCGTCTAAACATCAACAGAATATAACCTGCTTCAGCCCGTCGCCCGGTATATTTATTCCGAACAGGAAAATCAAGCAGTAAACCGCGAAACAGTGAAATATACACGTGCCCAGACCGGTCCGTAGAACCCATCCGTCCGGCTATTATGATTTTGCCGGTAAAACGCGCGCGCATTCGATTAAACGAGTAGAACATAAGCGGCCGGTAGAATATATCTGTATACGTTCGGACAAGCAAACAACGGCTTGGTCAGCGGCCAAACAAGTGAAAGAAAATTGCAGCCGCTCTTCAGTTTCTGGACCGACGTGTTACTCGTTAGCCTGCCCCGTAGAAGTAGAATGCGCCGATCCGCGCGGCGAGACGATTCGAGTGCATTCGGTTCGTATTCAGGCGGGCCGAATAGCCCGTCCATCTAATTGTAAAACCGGCCGAGAAGAGAAGGATAGAATTCCCCAGTAATCATTCCTTCGTTGCGGTTTTCCCGAATCGCGGGGCCGCACCGTTCGATTTATCCGCGTCGCCACGCATGAACAGGCTCAAGCGAATCCCCTCTTTACAGATTATCGGACTCGGTCGGTCCAGTTTGCCCCCAAAAGCTGCCCGACATCTCGAATGAGCAAGAAGCACTGGAGCGTATGCCGAAAGGCCGGCTCGAGTACTTGAAGAGACTGCTGCCGCATCTACGGAACCAGAGCGAGGATTGCCTCTACTTGAACATCTACGCGCCCGCCATGGGTGAGTAATTCTTCCGTTTATCCGCTTACACCTCGAACATTTCCGTGGACAAGCATTATCGCTTCCCGTCCCAGCCACCGAAAGACAGCCCAGACTAAATACACAACCTTCCGAAGCGAATGCCGTTTCGGGCGGAAACCACCGTGCGAGATAGCGTACGATTATACTCGTTCGAGAGGCTTTCGTCTGACACGTATCGATTCCGCGATGCTTGATTAAGGAGAACTTCGCGCGTGTTGCGCAAACTTCAAACTTTCTTGTACACCGACTTGATTACGAATTTACAGAAAAACGCGCTATTGTGCGGCTCCCTTCGACAAACTCCGTCGCCTGACGTGTATTAACTCGTGACAGTTGATCCGAGGGGGATTGAACTGTTTCTGGCTAAGTCTTTTGTCGTGGAGTTTGCTGAACTGTACACTTTTATAGGCGGATGCGACGAAATTTGATTTTGTACTTTAATGTTGATGTAATGGTTTCTTTAACAGTCTTACTGCCGTGCTACGTAGTTGTTTGCTCAGGCTTAAAAATTATTTATGATAATATAATATAGCTATTATAATATACCTATAATAATATACTGATAATAATATGTCTATAAAAATATATCTGTAATAATATACCTATAATGATATATGTATAAAAATATATCTGTAATATTATACCTATAATAATATATCTATAAAAATATACCTATAATAATTTATCTATAAAAATATATCTATAATAATATACCTATAATAATATATCTATAAAAATATACCTATAATAATGTACCTATAATAATATATCTATAAAAATATACTTATAATAATATACCTATAATAATATATCTATAAAAATATACCTATAATAATATAATATAATAATATATCTTTTTTACCATATTTGAAGTTAACTTTACTTTTCGATTTTAATTTGCTAGAATATGCTAAATTTATATACATTTATATGTGCTATTTTGCTAGAATTTGCTAGAATATGTCTAAATTTATCGAATATTGGCAATCGAAGTGTTAAATAATACAGTAATATCAAGTAAATGAACTCTAAGACGGGAAACTAAAGAATCGTATCACTTAAGGGGTAAATAATTGATGCGGAACTTCGCAACTTCGAAACAATGATAATTCAGCAGAGTAATTATTCTACTGGTTTAGAGTTTAAGTCGGACTCTAAACTAAAGGAAATAACGTCCAAGAGTAATGCTCGCTCAATTTATACGGACGTTGCTAAGATTCTCGATAACGAGCCTGAATTGAATGTTCAAGTTAGAAGAATCATTAATTATAGAGTTCATGCGTTTATCGCAGAGTTCGCGCTTCCGAACAATGCTGCGGATATCGCTAGAGATGTACCTACCTCATTCTTTCGTCGTTATTTCCGATTCTTTAACACTGGACCTACCAAATTCTAAACGAAACCAACGTGTATCATTTTACAATATTAAAATTGGAACTAATGAAACTTCATACACTTTCGATCATAATTTATACTCGAATGAGAAAGTTCTTAGTAACCGTGAAAGAATCAGGTTTCTTTTTATTGTTTTAATCTTAAATGCACCGGAAAGCTTTCAAAGTAATGAAGCAGATATTTTAAAACAGGAAATTGTGTGCTAGAAATGAAGAAGAATATTCATTGCAGAATAATTTAAATAATTGTCGAACGCAATTTCTTGAATCCCTCGTGATCAAGCATCTAAGATGATCAGGAATCTAGTAATCTAATTAGAAACAATACATTTAATTGGAAGCTTCAATAAGCGTTTCAACATTTTCTAAATAACGCCCTGGAACAATAGGAACAATAGGAACCGAGGCACGAAAATAAAAGACGCACAATGCCGGCGACCGTTACCGAAAAACCATAAGTAAAAGAAGCTCCTTAAACATCTCGAAAGATTGCCGAAACTCTCATGGCTAAGCCAGTATATTATCTTTTTTTTTGATGGCACAAATCAAAATGTCTAGCACACGGGCACTCGAGCGAAAACTAGTTTCCGCGGCGAAAAAGCCGCAAACGCGAAAGCGTCTCGCTCAATTCTCAGCTCAGAATGCCATTACTAATGTCCCGGGTCGCCGCTGGTAATTAATGGCGGCCCTCGAGATCGTGTCGTTCCGTCATTTTATTAATTGGCGCGAGCTAACGAAGGTTACCCGTTTGCTTTCGTTACTCGCGTAAATTGTTCCTGATGACGGGGCTGTCCTGATGGAAAGATGAATCGACGTTATTAGAGTCGGCCGCGTATCAGTCCAGCGTCGGGGAAGAATTTATTTTATGACGTAACAGGAAACTTGTTGGTCAAGCCTGTTCCACGTTGGCTAATGAATAGTTGTTGACGTTGATTTAACGTTTACACCGCGTGTGTCGCCGCATCGAAGCGATTTCGCTGCCGGAATTTTCGGACGAAATGTAATCTCCCGTTCATGTGATTCAGTTTTCTGCAAATCCCGGAAACTTCCGTGCCACACTTCCATTTTATTTCCGTCACTATTCAATTTGCAACCGTGCCGGTTACGCGAACCGCGTTATGCAATCATAAAAAGCGAGCAAAAATCGTTCAAGATTATCCAGCTACTCGTGTACTCCGAAAAATACGCTTCTGTCCATTCGCTCGTCACGGTCGAATGAAAAATATGCCGCCACGATACATGGCGGCCCCTTTCTTCAAAAATCAAATGACGTTTGAAATTTTCATCCATCCGACCTGATTCTTAAGTGACAGTTCACGAATTTTCGGGTTCAGTGATGCCTTAAATATGGAAACATTTTTAATGTGTCAAGCTAAGGTTTATCCTTAACGAAATCATTCATTCGTTTACAACAGTTTACTATTGGATTGGTTGGTAGAAAACTGAATCGCAGTGGACTGCTGTTAAAATGAGTTATGAAACCATGCTTATGCCAGTGATTTGTGATTTTGCATTTCTTATAAAATTTTCATAATTAGTAATTCGAAAATTGTAAGTACTGTGGGGATTATTTTAGGAAAGCGTACGAGACTCCGTGGTAAAATGCCAATATTTAAATAACAATAATATAACAGAAAAGTTTGATATAAATAAATAACCTTGTCATAACAAGAATAGTTTGTTAATAAAAATAACAACCAGTTTACACAATGGAATAACTTCTCAAGAATAACAACAACAGCGACGACTTCGATTCATTCTCTCTCTTGCACTCTCTCTCTCGCACTCTCTCTCTTACTCGCTGTCTCATTATTTCTCATTCTTTCTCTCTCTCTCTCTCTCTCTCTCACTCGCTGTCTCATTCTTACTCATTCTCTCTTTCTTTCTCTCTCTCGTCACTCTCTCACTCACTGTCTTATTCTTACTTATTCTCTTTCTCTCTCTCTCTCGTCACTCTCTCACTCATTGTCTTATTCTTACTTATTCTCTTTCTCTCTCTCTCCTCACTCTCTCTCGTCACTCTCTCACTCACTGTCTTATTCTTACTTATTCTCTCTCTCTCTCTCTCTCTCACTCACTGTCTCATTCTCTTCCTCTTTCTCTGTCTCTCTCTTTCTCTCTCTCATTCTCTCCCTTTCACTCACTCACGCCCTATCTTTCGGCTTCGCAGAATTTCGAGGAACCTAAGCAATAAACTCAGGTCACTCGAAGCTGCTAAAACACTCTGAAAACATCTATCGCACTCATTCAGTATTTTACTATATTCACTTTTGATCATTCTGTCATTCATACCCGGAAAGCTCCTACAATACCGATTGCCATACAAATCCTACGAACTTACGAATATAGACCAACTTTTTAAGAAAAATGTATTTAACCCTTTCGGTACGGAGGACCCGGCCGCGGTTATACATTCGTGGGACAAGGAAGCTTTCCGCGAGAGTGGTTGCACTGTACGACAGCGTAAGCCGCGAAAACATGTTTCGCGGCGTTCATAGAAATCTCGAGCGTGATTGACACTAAACTTTTCATTCGGACCGCGACATCGGCGACTGACGCGGAATTTAACGTGTTTAAAAAACATTTCCAAGATGTTTATACTGCTTTGTCGTAATCTAAACTTAGAAGAACACTTAGTGGATGCCGCCAATTGGCGGCGATAGGATCCAGAGAATGTTTGGTGGATGCCGCCAATAGGCGGCGGTAGTACCGAAAGGGTTAAGCAATTATTTTTGTTAGAAATGACTGTGCGCGTCAGTGTTCCCACGTTGTCTGTGTTTAAATATTTCCCAGTATATAGCTGAAGTGTAGACAAGGGAACGGGTAACAGTGCCTTGATGCGCTTATGCTAGCACTTTATCGTCCGGTCGTGGTTGAGGCTGCCACTCAGTAAGGACTGGCTTAGTCGCGCGCGCATTTGCTCCCAGTACCGGCTAAATTTTCGCTATTCATTGTGTTGTGCTTATTCCTTTAAAAATAATAATAAATAATAATAATTATTATAATTATAATTCATAAGGATATGGGGAGGTCAGCATACAGGAGGTCAGCTACTAACAAAACAGTAAAGAAGCGAAAACCGTCGATAGCTAAAAGTCGATTAATAGGCTATCGGTCGATAAGCATTGGCAATCGAAAAGCCGATTAATAGGCTAGCGATCGATAAACATTGGCAATCGAAAAGCCGATAAATAGGCTAGCGGTCGATAAAGTGCTAGCTGACTTCCTGGGACTGACTGGCAGTCCCTACTTTACACCCCCGCCTGGGTCCCTTCGCAGCCAGGGAAGAAACGCCTCCTACCCCCGCGCGTCTATCGCTTACGACGGTGGTGTCGTTGTATTCCAACAATTTTTGACAAACTCGCCAGTTTCGCCGTCACTCGCGTCCGCTGTAAAAAGCAACCAGACGCGACGTACAGCGTACAATAGGTGGAACGCCCGACATCGCTTACCAATGGGTAGTCCTGCTTAACGCGGTTCCGTATGCAGTAAAAGAGACGTAGGCAATCGAGTAGACCGCGGAACTTTTAAATGTTTAAGTGGCGGAATATCGACCACAGAGAGAATTCCGAATGAAAGGTGCGC